AAAGTACACCTACGTTCGAGCACGCCGGTGAAAAAGCAAACAAGTCTTTAGACAAACCCGGAGAAAAACTCACCTAGAAATGAATTTTTATGCAAGGTGGTCTTTATCGATTCAATATCCATTTTATCAAGAAAAAAATTTGTTTCTGTATTCTTGCGCCAGGTTGAACAATCTAGGAGCAGTAGTGGAACTAAACCAGCAGGGGTGTGCATGCAAGTGGTATGCATTTCAAAGCAAGGCGCTTTGCTGCAGCTCTTGATTCACTTTTTGGGCGGCCGTTTTCCCGTGAGTGTTGCCATATTTAAATGGGACATAGCCGGGATAGATAAAATATAAATTTTATTTAGCTACTCATTGGCAGAGCTTAGAATACTGAAAGCGTGCCTTCTTGAATAGCAAAAAAAAAAATAAAGTTTGGGATATATAGATTCTGCAACAACTACATGAAAGGACATTTCATATATAACAATTCAGGAAGGAACTGGTCAGGCTGCAGCCTACTACACTGGACATATTTTCCCCTTGCTATCCTTCAGTTATCGGTTTATTGATTTTTTTTTAGTTCTTATCGTGCAACCGATTTTGTATTTTTAAGGGATATTTAAGAGTATATTATTTGTCACTGAAATGCAAAAAGATTGTATGAACGCATCGCATCCGAACATACTTCAGTTGAGTCAATGCTCGGTTCCCAGATCCCCAAGTGAGCTTTTCTCCGCATCCGTTATTAGTCCGCAGCGGACGGCTTTGTGGGGAGCTTACTATTGTGAAAGTATTAACTGTCTCATTGAGCGACGCCAGTGAAGCCGGCGAAAACGCCAACTAAATTCACATTGCCTGGGCGTTGTGCGTAGCAGCGATGCGGCATCTAGATTCCCATTGGCTGCGAAAAATTTCTCGAAGACCTTCCTGTAATTTAATGACTTTGAAAGGAAAATTTCGTACATTGCGGTTTGGCTGGAAATCTAGCCCGGGCCTCCGAAGTGTGAGACGAGCACGCTTTCCGAACGCCACGGTTGCTCTACGGTTACGGCTGACTAAAGCTCTGCATATCTACACAGTGTCACTAGTTGCGTGCAGTACAGGCGAAGGTAACGCCAGGCGAGGGGAGAAAGGGAAAGCACTAGGAGGGCTAAGGAGGAAAACAGAAACTCCTCTACTTTCTAACTTTTCTAGTGGCCTTCCTTTCTCCCCTCGCCCTCCATTGCACTCGTCTCCCAACCCGCATTCCTAGTACCCACGCTTTCTCTCTTTGGCTGGCGTTGGCTTTGTCTGCACTGCACACAACTAGTGACACGTGCGAGCGACATGCTTTTTCATTTTCACACGTAAGCAGTCTTAAATGTCTCAACTCAATTTGTTTTTCGGTGAGCTTATCTCTTGTGAGCTTTTCTCCGCCGGCCCCCAATCTGGCACACAGTCGCATAACGACTATGGTGAACAACGCAAAAGGAACAACATCGAATCTAAGCAAGCTGGTGCAATTGGCATTACTAGATCTTAAATCAAATCAGTCGATTACCATTCTCACAGCTGATAAGGCAAAGGGTACAGCAGTACTTGAGAAGCAAGTTTACTTTAAAAATAATCCGCGCGATTCTTGTTGACACGGCTCGTTTCGTGAGGTTACCAAGGGACCCCACTCCAAAGTTTCAAAGATATCCTGTTGACCGCCTCCGCGATCTAGAAAAGAAGAAACGCATAGACGACGCTACGAACCGTCGTCTTTTTACTTTTGACGGATCCACTTCTAAATACTGTGGTCTTCCAAAAGTTCACGAACCAGAGTGCCCATTGTGTCCGATTGTTTCCTTCATTGGTTATTCCACTTGCAGCCTGTCGAAATATTTCGTCGAACTCACCATTCCGTTACTGGAACAAACGATTTCACAGCACGTAATTCTCAGAAGATCGTGGGCCACGTTGTAACGGACTTGAAGAGGATGACGTAATAGATTTTTTTGATGTTGTGTTATACTTTGCAAATTTCCCCACCTCCCAACTCTGAGATTCACTGAAACGAGCTTACGTAATGATGACACGCTCCCCTCGCACACATTATTAACGGTTGAGCACATCGCTATACCGCTACGGTTTTGTCTTCAGCAGTATAATTTTTCCATTTCGTGGACAAGCCTATCACCCGATTGAAGGTTGTCCAATGGGCATTCCGGTATTCGTGCCTGGGGAATCTTGTCATGCAGCACGTCCAGAGAACAGTTATATGGTAAATTGTGCATCCAGTAAGGTTTTATATGCGTTGCTTGTACGGTACTACCGCAATTTAAATAAAGACCATCTTCATGACTTTTATTTAACCTTGAACGGCGTTGAGCCGTCAATCCAATTCACACCGTGAAGCAGAAACGAACACCACATTGCCTTTCCTATAAGTTAATATTCACCGACACAGCACCGAACATATAGAAACGCATGTGTACCGTAAATCTTGCGGCACAGGAAAGTTTCCAAACTTCAACTTACATCATCCGGTTGAGCACAAACGAAAAGTCGTAGAAACCCTGCTACATCTGTCCGAACAGATTTATTCAAATACGGAACTCCGAGCATCTGAAGATACAATTATTGTCGAGCCGCTGGAGAAGCGGGATTACCATATACGTTTTATCGATAAGACGCGCAAGCAGATAGGGCAAGATAGTCGTTCGAATTAAATTGTAATAAAGCAATGCAAGTAACAAATTCCTATATTAAAACCCTTTCTGACTCTAATTGCAGAACTTTCGCCCCTTTCGAATTTCTGAACAGCTTTGCAACCCCATCCTAAACTACGCGACCTCGTTTAAAAACCAAAAGACCCCCCCCCCCCCCCAAAGGGTCCCAGTGTGGTGTATAAATTTAACTGTCTACATTGTGAAGCTGAAATTGTGAACCACCTGCGTCAAGTGTTGCACCGGTATGAAAGAACACAAACGTGAGGTGGCGAAAGCCACGCATGCCACTAGTGCAAAGCGGAGCAGGTTGGCCATTGTCGGACAACAAGTCGCAGTTTTGACTTCAAGAAAGCTTCGAGCTTGGCGCGCAAACAAAGTTGCGGTCAAGGAAGGGACTTGGAATCATGTTTTATCCGGCGTGATTCATCTGTTTCCTGAAGTGTGCGCGGGCCTTCTTAAATAGGATTTCTAGTTGGCGTTTTCCCCATTGCTGCCTTTTGGCTTCAGTGATGACGTCTCGCGTATGGGAGACGAAATGTGTTACTAATTTGTTATCTGCTTTATGTGAAGTCAGTATAGCTTTTTTTTTTAAATTATGAATTTCGGATTCGGGGCCATTTTTGCATTCTATGGAGAGAGGTGCAGTGATTATTGAAGTCTATATGAGAAGTAGCATTCGCCACTCATTTAACCTAATATTTCTTTATATTTCTTTCGCTGGCGGACAGCGCTTGACAATAATATATGATCGCAGCTGTTTTTTATGGGATGGAGGAAATCTATGTATTTAATTTCCATCTCCAGTGTAGGAAAACTTAGCGCCGACCCTGGATCCAAGCACGTGTGTAGTGCAGTGGTCAGGTAAGCATACATTGATTAAAAACGACTGACGCGATCAGTGCTGTCCTTCTGCTGCTACACAATATGCACAAAAATGGTCCTGCTGCTGGTGGCACGGCGGCGTCCCATTGTTATACCACCCTTTCAATAGGAGGTGCTGAGTGTACACATGCAGGTAGGAAGCTTCTGGAGGTGACATCAGCATTCGAGAGAGACCAAAACAACCATGGATTTGTTTATCGTACGGGGCGCCCCTACACACTTATGGCTGCACCTACGGTAGCATCATGTCGTCTCCAGACGCTTCATACTTCCATAGCCCAAGTCCCGATGGCTGCGTGGAGAATGAAGCGCGTCCTTCACCGACCTGTTTACCACGTCCGAAGAATGTGGTCATTCGATTTCCACCTTATGACATCGTACAAGTGACATGCTCTTGCCCGCCGCAATCTTCGCGCCGCCACAACAGCAGTCGTGTGTGTGGCAGGAGCCAATTCTGTTAAAGCTCGCTCTCCAGCTTGGTCTTCAACAAAAACTTCGGTAGCCAAAAGTGGGGACGCCACGAACACATCGACACTGACGTTCGCTCGGACCAACGTTACTAGAACACTTAGTTAGAAAACTCACATTTAAAACCCGGGCCACTGGCGTCCACCAAGACCGAACTAAATACAATAACAGCGCCACCCTTTAGCGACGAGTTGAAACATAAAAGGTGCCTTATATGGCTACTGCTAGAGTCACTGAATGTCCCCAGAGTACTCAAACACCCAGTCTCGACGTGCAGAGATGGCGACTCAAACTTTTTTTCGTTACTGTGGTCACCTTGAGCGTTTAGAAAATATATTTTTTGGTAGAACAAACGAAAAAAAAACTCTTTTTGTACGAACGTTTATTGGAGTTCAGTACAAAATGATAGGTGCGTGATGTTTTCTAAAATATTTAGTTTACAAGGTTTTGCGGCACATTTCATATTGTTTTTATACAACCATGTCTCGCAGCTGATTACAGGTATCGCGCCCCAACCTGGGTGCGTCCTAACTTCGGTAGTAATTCGCGGCGCGTCCGCTTGGAAAACGGGGCTCGCCATCCCTGAAACCCCTTTTTCCGTATATGTTTCAGCGCCAAAATGATCGATTAAAGTCACAATAGTACAGTCACAACAGACGCTATCGAATGTGATATTTCCGAACCAATTCAAGCAGCCGTGCAGTTCCCCGAGTGGCCGCTGCGGGAGAAATGGCGGCGTTACAATCGCCATTAGCTCGGTTCTTGAGTACGGATCGGTGCCACTTTTTAAGAGGAGGCTCTATACGGCGGTTTCCAACTGAGTGGTTTTAGTAACGTTGGTCGTGACGCTTTTGTACCAGGACTGAGACTTCATTTCGTCTATCTCTTTTCCAGCTTACGTTTTAATCAAGTTACATTTAACCAAAACGCATTAAAATGTTTCGGCTGATTGTATTTAAGAAAAAAAAAACTTACCCAAGCTTTGGTTGGGAAAATTTATAACGAAATCTGATGAGGCACCGAGCACGCCATGTTGCAGCAATATCGTTGTCTTATTGGACAAAGGTGCGTCCTGGCTTTCGTTTTTGCCTCGTGGAATACGTTGAATGCGAATCACATAACCGTCGCTGGTTGTAGCCTCGTATTCTTCGACTGGATAGCCTTTGCTGGAGATCAATTCAGACTGGAAGAGAGATTTAAATTAACCTAAACAGATGTTGGTGAAGGGTACCAAGAAATTATACACCAATAGGTAGAGCAGCAATACGCGCCTTGTGCCATGTTGTTTATGACTTGTGAGTGCTGGTATGTTTACACTCAATAAATACCTTGCCAATAAAAGACAAACTGAAGAAATGCATTGTATACTTTTAATTATATATTTATGTCTACACTTTTTTTATAAAAGGAGGTTTCATTGCATAAAAGGGGCATGTTACGAGCCTTTTTTTTATGTCCTGGAGTTGTGAATGGACAACAGCTAGCAGCACGTAGATCAGAACAAGTTTAGCTTCAATCACCATTGCGCTGTTTTAACTGTGGTCAGCAAAACCGAGAAACAATTCGGTTTCATTTTACGAAGGATGTTTTGACTTTGAGAAGACAGAAAGTTAGTCGTTGTTTATACAAAAAAAAAATTAATAAAAGTAAACACAGATTAATGATCGATGAAAGTTTGCTTTCATCTTGTCTGACGGTTTTATTTATTTATTTTGTTTGCAAAAGGCACTTTTGCACTACAGCACATTGTGTATAGTGATTTGCTCTCAGTTTTGTATCAGCCTGAATTGTATTTATAACCTGACTTAATTAGTTCGACTATTACATTGGTATACAGGAAAAATAAAGAACGGTATCTTTCAAACAAATATATATTTTAAAAAAAGCTCATGTTCGTTGAATGATTTTTTGACACTGCCACACACATACATCAACAAAATATTTCGCACATTTTAATCCTTCCAGTTCGCACTGTATAATTCTAAATTAAGAACATCAAGCATGCCACAGCTAACGAAGCCAAGCAGACAAGTTCAAGAGTGTCACTTTTCGTGTTCTATGACTGTAAACTATAAATATCAGAGACGTTTACAATTCCCTGTAATGCCGAATTAGAGCGCAGATCTTGAGGAGGAGGGGAGGGGGGTACGGAGGGAAGGGTATGTCCCTTCTCCTACTCCTCTCCTCCTCTTCACATCGTTACTCCTCCTCTCCTCCTCCCCCTCCTCTTCCTTCTCTCCCTCCTCCTCCCGCCTCCTTCTGTCATTCTCCTCCATCTATCCTCGTCCCCTCCCTCCCTCCTCCCTCGTGACGTCACTCGTGACCTTAGTGACACTCATGACGTCACTCATGAAGGCCTCGTGACCTTCACTGTGAAGGTCGTGACCCCCGTCTTGACCTTCTCGAGTTACCTTCGTGACGCCACTCGTGACATCACGCGTGGTGCATTATGGGGCGTTTCCCATAATGGCGTTACAAGTGACGTCACGAGGGTTGTGACGTCATTATGGGAGACGTTCCATAATGCACCACGTGGTTACGCCGACGCCGAAGGCGACGCCGCTCAAGCCGGAAACGGGAGCGCAAGAGCTGCGCTCTAAAAATACACAGTAGAAGAAATTTATTTTCCCAAATATTTCTTCAGTCAATAGGGCCATCATGAATTCAGTAGTACTGCACGGTGCTATAGTCATTTTTGGGAATATCTTAGAACCCTGTAAGGTGGCAGGTGTTCTCCACGCAGGTAGCATTGAGCCAATTGCTAGATTTAATTTCCTGTGTCCTGATGGAGTCGTGATCAAATCCTTAATAACGCGATAGCGTTTAAGAGCTCGCGTCGCGGAAAATCAGGCTTCAGTAGTTCCAAGAAGTTCCATAATGCAACGCGCGCTGCCACGTGTGCCGTCATGCGTGTCACGTAACGCGTGTGACGTCACACGTTGCTGTGACATCATGACTCTGTCGACCCGCTAAATTTGGCAGAAAAAGTTTCCGCTAAATATTGCTGAAACTGTTTCCGCCAAAGTTAGAAGAAAATGTTCCCACCAACTTTAGCGGACACTTTCCCCGCCAAGTTTGGGAGAAAGTTTTCCCGAAAAATGTAGCGTAAAATTTTCTGCTAAATATAGCTGGCCGATAGGGTCATGACCTCACAGCCACGTGTGACGGCAGGTGATACGTGACGATACTGACTCGAGCATGCACACACTTGCGCGGGTTGGGTAGGAGCACGGGATTATATGAGAAGGCTTTGCGAACGTGGCCCGATAATGCTATCGCGTTCCACGCTTAAAGGCGTAGCTTTATGATCAACAAGTTTTTTTTAGAGCGCAGCCATTAGGCGCCCATTCCTTTGTTTCGCGGCGTCGCTGTCGGCGTCGGCGTAACCGCTCTAAATTTAGCGGGAAAATTGATGTCATGTGACCTCAACACCAATTCAGCTTCTCCGCTAAATTTAAAGGGCAAGCTAACGTCATGTGACTTGGTGTCACGTTACCTATGAACGAATTCTGTTTCTCCCCTGGATTTAACGGGAATGTTAACGTCAGGTGACCTCAAGAGCAATACAATTCCTGGCAAAATTTAGCGGGGACACTGAATTGCTCTTGAGGTCACGCGACGTCAATTTTCCAGCTAAATTTAGCGACGAAATTGTGGGATGAGTGGAGGATACGGAGGAGGAGGAAGGGAAGGGCAGAGGGGGGAGAGAAAGTAAGGAGGTGAAGGAGAAGCGAAGGAGGAAAGAGGGAAGGGGAGGTGAGGAGAAAAGGAAAGGGGAAGAAGAGGAGAGGAGGTGGAGAGGGTACGGAGGAGGAGGAGGGGCATACCCTCCCCTCCGTATCCTCCCCTCCACCTCTTCAAGAGCTATACTCTAATTTCGCGTAAAAGAAATTTATAAATGTTTTCCATTTTTTTACTAAAGCTGATGGACCAAATATAAAGATTATATTTTTGAAAAGACAGTGCGGAAAACTATATTGTAACAGCGAAAAAAAAGGAAAGAAGAAGAAGAGGTGCTCGGAACAGGGATCGAGGAGGAGAACGTTAGAGAACCCAGGAAATAAACCGTGACAAATTGGTGGCAGCGGTGGGATGCCGACCGAAACCCGACAAGGTTCTTTGCCGGTACAAGGGACGCCTTCCGGTGAGCTCCCCTCCCAAGCCCAGCAGCCAGAGGAAACCACTTCACAATCGGTGGCCGCACCAACCGAAATTTTGACGAGAGCGGTGACATTGGAGACGCTGCGAAGGCTGTTGGAACTGCAGACTCAAACAATCATGGTCGCTACGCAGCAACCTTCGGACATTCTAACCGCAAGTCATGCCGACGTCTGCCGTCGAGTGGCGGCTCTGGAGACGCTTCAGCAAACAGCGCAACCAGCTGTCTTCGCATTTGAGCAGACTCCTTTCACGAGCCGCCCGAATACATCTTCTCGCCAACCTCGTCTCAAGTTGAAGCCAATTAATGGCGAAACACCCTTGGATCTATTCCCACAGCAGGTTGACATCATTTCCGATGCAAACCACTGGCCTGAATACGATAAGGCACGCGCTATCATCGCGCATTTAGATGGCCCTGCCCTCAGCGTTGTTCATGCACTCAAAGGAACTGGGCTCACTTACGCAGCATTGATCACGAGCTTGCGCGATCGTTTCGGTGATGAACATCTGCAGCAAGCATTTTATGCAGAATTACGCTCGCGCCGCCAACAAGCAAGCGAGAGTTTTCCAGAGCTCGCTGCAAGTATAGGGCGTTTAACCTACAAATCCTTGCCGGGCACAACGTCTGATACATCCAATCGTGTCGGCACAGCCCCGTTTGTGGATGCCATAGGCAACCCTGAGGTCCAGGAGTTTGTAAGACTCGCAAAACCAGAAAGAATGCGAGCCGCACTCGGACATGCCGTGGAGATGAGCGCTGCTCAATGGGCTACCAACCGCATGCAACCACTAGAAGCTCCTGGAGTTACAGTACAACCATCGACAGTTGCGCACTACACGTTCTCCCAGCCTGCGTCTGCTCGCTCATGAAAAAATACCGCTGGGTCGTGCTACCGATGTGGCCGTCATGGTCATTTTGCGGCCGAATGCTCAGCTGCTCCTGCTACATCGGGACACGCTACTCCCGGGCCTTGGATGCGGAACCGGGTATAACTCCTCAAAGGCCCCTCGCATCAGTTACATACCAGTTAACGTCGGTTCCCTGCCATCCTGTACTGGGTGAAAACAGGGGGGTTGTGGACGCACTTTTTGACACTGGAACAGCTGTGAATGCTATTTATATGTCCTTTCCTTCCTCGGACATTATAGTGTTCCCTGACTACCCAGTTCTACTAACCGCTCATGAGGAAAGCATACCAACCGGAGGAAAAGTGAAACTAAAAATTACAGTATTTGGTCGCACATCAGTTGAAGACTTTGCTGTAATTCCAGACTTTATGTGTCCTTTAATTCTTGGGTATATCTGGTGTGCGAAAATCGGCTTATTTTCTTGGAAACCTTCTACGGTCTGTCAAGAAACTCTGTCATAAGGTCAAAGCGCATGTCAGGAGTATGCGCTACTTCGACGCTTTTGGTCGCCTATTATGACGTCCTGGGCATCTTATGCATTTTTCTTGCTGCTTCGACTTTTTTGGAGTAACTTCATACTTCTTTGGGCATCGTCTGCATCTGATGGAGCAGGTGTATTGGAAACTCTACTACTCAAGTTTTTTCAATCATCCTCTGTTCAAAAAAAAAAAGGGAAGTTGCGATATTCATATTGCGGTTACAACAGTGCTACAACCAGAAACAGCCATGTGGATCAAAGTGCGGTCAAACCCACCCCCTCTTGACGGTGACATTGTCTGCGAGGCTTCCCGGATTTCAAAACCTGGCTACGAAGTGGCAGTACCTCGAACGCTGCACTACAAGTAGAGCAGGTCATTTCAGCATCCTGATGATGAATCTCGGGCATAACGCAGTCAAACTGCAGCAAGGACATTATGTCTACAAGTCGTTTCCTCTCACTCCAACAGAACCTCTAACAGCGACTATAGATCAACCAGGAGCGTCAGAACAACCCTCAAAAGAATGCGCACAAATACCATGCGATTTGTTCCAGTTTGGTCCAACCCTGGCCAATCATCGGATTGAATTCCTCAAAGAACTAATCACAACCTACCGGGCATGTGTGACACTAACTCGAAACGAACTCGGATGCACACATCAGGCGGGACACAACATTAATACGGGCGATCATGCCTCCATTCACCAATCCTTACGTCGTCTTGCTCCAGTAGAGCATGCCGTCATCCAAACACAGGTCGACGGTATGCTTAATAGAAGAATTGTCAAACCATCCAACAGCCCATGGTCGACA